GCTCAGCGGTAGGCGGTGCACCAGGGGCATGCTCAGCGTGAAATTGGAAGAAACAGCGAACTTATCACACAATCCTCCTGAAAAGCAGCATGTATGTGTGTTGGGAAGGCAGCGCGCTGCTAGATCTCCTTTCAAGCACGGCTGCTATTTTTAGAATGCGTGTGTCAACATCGTTCAAAAGCAGCGTCATAAAAGCTTCTCCTACCCAGAAATAGTTGTCCGGCGGCCAGCGCCATACCCCGACCAGAGCCGGTTTCGCGAGGAGAACATTTCTACGAACGATGCGCAGGAGAACGAGACCTGTGCGCTTCCTGATTGCGTCAAAGCAAGCAGGCTCCACTTATGGCTCTTCTTTTCCATTGGTGGCTAACGGCTTAACAGGAGTGACCATTTGAAAGAAGGAGCTGCAGTCACCTGATTTTTCTCTTATATTTTTCACTTGTGCATGTTTATGGCCTTTAGAATAAGAAACTGTAGAATAAGACCACCTTTCTCTGGTGTCCTCAATCCCATTCGATCGGAAATACCATTCAAGGTCAAATGTCATTCGATGCCAATTCGTGCCAGGACCCAGTGACCACTGAATCGCTCCAGCCCGATGCATGGAAACGCGACTGGACTTTTGCCTTGCTTTTCGAGCAGACAGGGATCTTACCAGCTCAAGTCAGCGCTTCATGCCCACTGTGACGAACTTCTGCCGCCCGGCCTGCCACTTGACCTGACCCCTGACCTGTGACTGACGCCTGACACCTGACCTGACCCCTGACCTGTGACTGACGCCTACCACCTGACCTGACCCCTGACCTGTGACTGACGCCTCCCACCTGACCAGACCCCTGACCTGTGGCTGACGGCTCCCACCTGACCAGACCCCCGACCTGTGGCTAGCGCCTGACACCTGACCCGACCCCTGACCTGTGGCTGACGCCTGACACTTGACCCGGCCCCTGGCCTGTGACTGACGCCTACCACCTGACCTGAGTCCTGACTAGTGACTGACGCCTACCACCTGACCTGAGCCCTGACCTGTGACTGACGCCTACCACCTGACCTGAGCCCCTCAGCGGCCTGGTGACCGGTTGTCAGAGCGGCTGTGCCCGGAAGCCCGCGGGGTGTACCAGAGGTCCGGGAGCCTTGTCCGTTGCGAAGTGCAGCGGTCGGTGGCAGCCGATAGCTGCGCTGCGCTGCGAGCCGCGATAACGCAACAGGCGCGGCGGCCTGCCGGTGCGCTTCGGAGCCGGGTCAGCTGCCCGGCGGGTGCGTGTTGCGCAGTACCGGCTCTGAGCCACGCTCGGCGCGGGCAGGTGCGGGGAGCGACCCCGGACCGCAGCCAGCTCCAGCTCCTTGTGCAACGGCGCGGCGGGGCCACGCACGCACTCACGGGCGGGTGCTCGCACCAGGGTCGGGTGGTGGGAGTCGGGCAGGCGGCGGCGCCGGTCGGCGTCTTGACAGACGCGCGCCGCGGCGCACTGGGCTGGCTGTCTGCTCGGAGCTACGCCCGGTGGTCCACCGAGTGTGCGTATCTCCCGCATCGGGAGACCTCTTCCGGCAGTCAGTCTCTTGTTTGCTAGTTTCGCCATTTTGCACCCTTTGCAAGCGGGAGCGAGGACGTGCGACTGCGTGCGATGATGGAACCGAGCTGTCATAGATGACTGGCGGACTCAGATGCGCATAGGTCTCCGATCTCCTGCGATCCAGCGATCACGATCTCCTGACCGAGACGGACCAACGCAGCTCATGCTCCTGGGCCGGCTGACTCGACGGCCGTTCATCTGGTGACCGGCCATGGCACCAGTCTCACTCGTCTGGTGGCCGGCCACGACACCAGTTCCACTCGTCTGGTGGCCGGCCACACCAGCCCCGCTCGTCTGGTGACCGGCCACGACACCAGCCCCGCTCGTTATGTGGAGCATCCGACACCGATCCCCGGCACGGCTGCCTCCAGCTAAGGTACCCCAATCACCCAACGAGGATGCCTCAGTCACCCAGTGAAGGTGCCCCAGTCACCCAACGAAGGCGCCTTAGTCACCCAGTGAAGGTACTCGAGTTACGCAGCGAAGGTATCCTAGTAGCCCAGTGGTGACTTTGGACCGCGCCGGACCGGACTGGACCGGACCGCGCCATCTTTTCGTGGCTGGAGCGACTTGTGTTGTGTCGATTATTTTGCATCCCTCCAATATCATCCGATTGAATTGACGGTCTACAAGAACTTCGATAATTCTGTATGCAGAAGAGACAGGCGTGTCGGCTGTGTGAACTGCGTGACCTGTAACATATCTAGCCGCATTGTTGCCGGCGCATATCCGTCCTCTCAAGCGGACTTGCTGCATTTCAAGAGGACTGAGTTATTTTTAGAATGTGTTACCTAAAATCTAGCTTTTTCATCCAACCGAATTCAACCGAATCCAAGCAAAAAGCCAACCTTTTTCTTTACAATATGCTAGCAACGTGACCTATCGCTACCTCAATGTTTGAGATGGCTCACAGCATAACAGCACAGGAAAACATGACTATCAAACTGACGGAGGTGATTATGTATTTTGGGACCTATTGGCTAAAAAGCGATATTTCGGGGTCTACCGTCATCAGGCGTGTAAAGTTAAGGAGCGTGGCCGGCTATATGCGAGTGGGGCCGAGGGCGGCATTCGCTATCGGTTCAGACAACATCCAGGGAACGCTCACCATCGCCAGCTGAGCTCGGCTCCGGGCCGACACCGTCTGTGATAACACTATTATATTTATCATTCATAATGATGCAGCGGGCTTCTGATTTGGCTCCTTATGGTTGGGTGGGATTTGCAAAGCACAAAACTGATGTGCACTCCGAATAGAGCTTGGGAGTAACCTATCAACACTATGCTCGACTTCTGGGATCTTGGGTGATATCAGGTGGGGGATATCAGGTGGGGAATACCAGAAGAGGGGTATCAGGTGCGGGATATCTTTGGTTGGAGGAGGATTGGAGACGGGTCGAATCGGAATGACCTCACAAGGCGAGGAACTTGAATCTACGTCTAGGTACCACATATCCCCCAGTTTTGGTACTTGCCCTGTCTCTATCCGGGTCGAATGTGCGACGTCATTGGCTCCTCCTCTACCAAGGAGCGGCAAGTCGATGGTGCAGTTCTTTGGGTTGATGAGCAATTCACATTGGTCCCATTTTACTTAATATTTCCACAGCTGTGCATATGTCGCTTTGATTCATGCCCATGTCTTGCTGTATGCTGCCCAAATGTACACCCACTTTGCTGCTGGGAGCTGATGAACTTAAAAGACAAAGTATGCTCCAGGATTACAAAATAGTTAACGCCCATTGATGCTCTTTGGTTAAAAAAGCGGTCATCGAAAAGGGGGAAAGGACATTTGATTATATCGTTAATGGTTATATGCATGAGTAAATCATAATATTGTCTCTTGATAGATATCACGGGGTAAAAAGAAGCTTTGGTGGTGTCCTAATTGCTACATAATTATATTTCGAGATATGAAGTCTCACGCAAATGATATTCCCCAAATATCGTGGACAGTAATTGAACAGAAACATGAAACCCAAAGTTGATGTCGTTTCGTATTAAACCATTCTCAGAGCCGTCATGGGATTGTGAGTGAAATGTTGGACGAGACCTTAGAGACGTCAGGAGCCATGTTCGCACAGGAGTTTTGAAACGATGTCAGCCTGGCACCAAAATTTTCCCATTTAAGATTTTACCAGCCCCAGCTGATAGTAAGTGCAGCGCTCTTGGGTTAATGAATAAAATAGAACACCGCATCACCAGCTGTGTTAGTTTCAGCACTTTTGTCACACAAATCGGGGGTAAACATTATTTTGATTACCACTTCTGACTAAGAGCTTAGGTAGAAGTTAAAGTTCAGCTCGGTTCCGTTAAGCAAGTCCAAGACTCCGGAAGTCGCGGGGTGAGCAAGAGAAAGGAAGGTAAATGTTGGGGTCACGTGCGTAGAAAAACTTGCAGATGATTTGACGTCATAGATGATGAACACTAACACCCTTAAAAATACTCTAACAAACCAACCGGCATAGCATGACCTGAAATGGCTTCAAGTGTGGATATTATGCACCATGTCATGAATGTGGTTTTCTGAGGTGTTGGTGTGCTTTTGCTTAATATTGGAACCAAAACTGATATCAAACTGTGCTTAATGCAAAGAAGCATACAAGCTGCCCTTGATTGTCGAAACTAGTTTAAATGTAGCTTGCATGCGTTTCTAGGCATATTGTATAGGAGCTTTGTTTGCATCATGTGAGGCATATTCATAAGTTGCACAGTTTTCAGAGCTTCCGCAGTCACATTTATGAGCATTTTCAATTGGGTTCAAAACACTTCTTGGAGAACCAAACAAATGTGAGAAGTTATTTTCTGAATGTGCCTGCTGTCTTAAATGTGCCTCTTGGCCTTTATTCAAACCCGGACACTCAGGTTCCTTCAGCTACGTCACGGCTCTGTGCTTCCTCTAACCCACTCTGAAATGGCATCCAAACATGTGAAGTGCAGTTGTGAAGTCGATGCGAAACTCGCATGTAGTTGCCAAATCGTTAAAAGATGCGGTCATGTAGTGCGCCCAGGCATGCGCGCAAACACCGCAATTTGAGAACTGCATGCCACTTGCGCGCGACCTTTGTCGCTTCCGGCGATGCGCGTGTTCGGACCGCAGCCCGTTAGAAATTTACTCTGCGATCCGTGAGGGGCTGCCTGTCTGCTGGGACAATGCTGGGTATCATGTTACCCACCACCAATTTTGACGTACTGAAATTTGAACACGTCTATGGGTTTTGGCAAAGCATTTCATACGCTCATTGGCCAAAAGCGTTAATCCCCCCCTTTCCTGAGGGCTGGAGGATGCTGACGCTCTTCGTAACTTGGTGCCGTCTGTTACAGACTTAAACTTCTGGAGAGAGCGACGGCAGCGCCACAGCGGCGAATACTGGTAACTCATGGGACCGACACTCTCCTACAGACGGCGCAGTGGCTGCAGGAGCAGCTCCAGAGTCAAATAGGCTCCAACAGTCGGTGAGTGTCCCGAATCCAGGCATCGTGTGATCCTGGAAGACAAGTGTAATTGTGGCAGGTGCGGCGGCACCAACACGGAGCTTCACTGAAATAAGCATAATCATGATACCCTCTCGCTGGTTTCAGGACCAACATCACGGAAGCTCTCTAACAAGCGTGATCCGTTTTGGTACGCTTGGGTGAAATCAGTATAATTTTGCACACTCGCAATGCAAGGAGGCTTAGCCAGGATGTAGCCATTATGAGCGGCTTGGAAGACATATCACCCTCCAGTTGCTTCGAGTTGAGCGTAACCGTAGCTGTAAAATATGTTGTCTCTTTCCCATATTTTCCGCAAAAAGCATGTTTCCCAATTTTCTACCACAGCTACCATCCCAATCAGCGTACCACTCCATGACCCGATATCGCCCCCTCCCCCCTCCCCTTTGTCCCCGTGGCGCAACTATCACTCAGTTCTTCGGTGAGAAGAGGGCCAGATCGGACACCGTAGTTAAGACATTTCACACCCGGGTGACGGACGGCAGCGTGAATCTCGGCCTAGCGATTCGGGTCTGCGATACCATATGCAACAGGTGTTGAAGGCATGTTCACCTATTGGAGAGGGGCAGTTGGGGTTCGGGCCCGACGGATTTGGACCCATGCCTGCTTACATGCCGAAGAAGACAGAGAGCCTGATACAACTCATTGATGTTTGAATATGCCCCTGTGGTATCTGGGGAGGATTGACAGGGTTTAAAAGTCACATGGGCCTGACGAGGCGTTCTGGTCCGTTTGAGTCACTATTCGCGATGCCAGAGCAACGGGTCCCAGCGATCGTAAACAGTCAATACCCAGGCCGCCCAGGGGGTTCCGAAGTGCGGGAGGGTCCCAGCGATCGCAAACAGTCAATACCCAGGCCGCCAAGGGGATTCCGAAGTGCGGGAGGGTCCCAGCGATCGCAAACAGTCAATACCCAGGCCGCCCAGGGGGATTCCGAAGTGCGGGAGGGTCCCAGCGATCGTAAACAGTCAATACCCAGGCCGCCCAGGGGGATTCCGAAGTGCGGGAGGGTCCCAGCGATCGTATACAGTCAATACCCAGGCCGCCCAAGGGATTCCGAAGTGCGGGAGAATAGAAAGCCATAACGCGTCCAAAAAAGACTCCTGAAGCCTCCTCTTTGGAAGACTCCCAAAGCTGCAGGGATGCTTTATGTGCTGAGTTGCAAGGAGGACTTATGTCACGGTTGCGAGAAGCGCCTCCCAGGACCAATAACGAGTCTGCAGGGCATCCCCGGGCATAAACGTCTCAATAACGAGTATGCAGAGCATCCATGGACGTAAAAGTCTTAATAACGTGTCTGCAGGGCATCATCGGGCAAAAACGTCTTAATAACGAGTCTGCAGGGCATCCTCGGATATAAACGTCTTAATAACGAGTCTGCAGGGCATCCTCAGGCATAAATGTCTTAATAACGAGTCTGCAGGGCATCCTCGAACATAAACGTCTTAATAACGAGTCTGCAGGACATCCTCAGGCATAAATGTCTTAACAACGAGCAGCTGAGAGCTGTTACGAATGCACATACACCTGTGAGAGCTCTGTTTATCGCGGCGAAAAGGATGTGTGTCCGAGACTGCGGTGTTTCCGTGAAATTCTGACGTTACAGCAGTCACACTCCACAACCCTGCTGGTGTGCTTTGGCACACTCTGGGTGCACTCACTAGGTCGGCGGCACAGCACTAGACGGTGTGGCACACGCGCCGCCGGTGTAACTGGGCCGTGAGCCCACGGGCCGCCGGTGTTACTGGGCCGTGAGCCCACGGGCCGCCGGTGTTACTGGGCCGTGAGCCCACGGGCCGCCGGTGTTACTGGGCCGTGAGCCCACTGGCCGCCGGTGTTACTGGGCCGTGAGCCCACGGGCCGCCAGTGTTACTGGGCCGTGAGTCCACGGGCCGCCAGTGTTACTGGGCCGTGAGCCCACGGGCCGCCGGTGTTATTGGGCCGTGAGCCCACGGGCCGCCAGTGTTACTGGGCCGTGAGCCCACGGGCCGCCAGTGTTACTGGGCCGTGAGCCCACGGGCCGCCGGTGTTACTGGGCCGTGAGCCCACCGGCCGCCGGTGTTACGTGTCGGGTGTGGCATCTGTTCCGCCTGCCGTTGTGGCAGCCCGCCTGCCGCGCCTGCTTGGTGCGGCATGGCCGGCCATCAACAGGTATCACTCACAGTTGTGTGAGGCTCCCCATCCCCTCCCATTCCGTGAGCGCGGGACTTCCGACGATGACGTCAGTGGGCACGAGGTCTCTCACAATCAGCCGCATTCACACCACATGATATGGATTGCTCAAATGTTGGCGCACAAGCTCGGCCTGTGAATACGGCTAGCAGGTGTGCAGTTTCCTATTCGGTTGGGTGACTTTAACCCTCTTCCCCTCCAACTTGGGTTTCAGCCTCCCCCTCCCCCTCCCTCTCCAAATTTGGGAAGAAAATGGGTCACTGTTTGTTGACATGTTTGGAAATGGGTTGTGTCATTTTGCATTCTTCAGCCTCTCCCAACTCCTTTTGTGAAACTACGCCTCTGATATGCTACTATATAGGATATCAGAGGCGTATAGGCTATGCTATATAGGCTATGATAGGCTAGGCTGCGTCTATCCCAATTGGCGTTTTGCCAGTCAGACCTAAGATATAAACGAGCTTAGAATACCGGTCAGACTCCAAGTTACTTCTTCCCTTTGCCTTGATGATCTTTCTCCGCAGTGTTTAACGTGACAATGCAGAGAAAGCAAAACAGGAGTAGTTCATTCATGAAATCGTGGATTTGAGCCCCATCCCCTTTGTCATATTCACGTTTTAGGGGTATCACACGTTGCTTGTAGTTATCATACTCATGGCCGATCAGAGAGTATTTATCCCCCCCCCCACACACACACACATACACCGACAAAAAATTGTGAGGCCCCTTTTGCCCAAGCAGAAGCTCACGCTCACGCACATTACCAAAATCCAGATCAAGGAGACCTCATAACTGAGCTAGAAGATCCAAATCGAGTTCAGGATTTGCATCGGCTTTCTGCGCTGGAACCCATTTTCTGAAGCCACGCCCGCCTTTGTGAATAAGTTAGGTCGGGTTAGGTTAGGTTAGGTTGTGAATAAGCTCTAGATAAGGAGGCTAAATTTTGTGTTAACGAGGCCCGGTGCTGGCCTAGGACGCCACCATTAGGAACCGCCGTTAGGCCCCATGATGACCTAGGGGGTCCCGTTGTGAACTAAGAGACTCCCGTTGTGAACTACGGGGCTCCTGCTCTGCATGAGGAGGCACTCTTTATGTATGGAGATCGATTTTCTGGAACAGGAGACCCCTTTGATGTATTAACAAGTCTGCTGCCAGACTAAACCCCAGGACGTGCACTAGTGAACCAACAAAAGGAAGCCGCTCGGTACAAAGACTATTTATTTTTTCCTGGCTGGTACAATGTTATTTCAAGCTTAACCATCGCTGTTTTGAACGAATTTTTAGCACGTCAGGCAGGTTGGATCGCCCCAGGGGAGGGAAATGCAGTCAGGACAAGACGCAAGAACATCATTGTAAACGCCTTGTCTCATGGACTGTGCATGCTGCAGTGCTAGCTAGTCGCGGACTGCATGGAATCGACAGACCAAAACAAAAACGTCAGTCAGTAAAAAAAAAACAGTCAGCCAAACACAAACAGTCAAGCGATAACACGCTAGGTCTAACTCCTTGCCCACATCACCATAACATGAACGATGGATAGTGTAACATCGTAACATCACCTCATGGATGGTGAGAAATCGAGGTCTGAGCCAAAAGGTGAAAAGTGCACCACCGGTGTTCAGGTCGGCTTCTGAGTAGTATTTGAACGAAAGCTTATATATGGGGGACGCCAATTCGGAAAGTCTGCGAAAGTTGGCATTTCATCTGACCTGGACGATCAGGCTGCTTGGACATAACAATAAGACAAATATGAAGTGAGAGCCGAATAGGTTCTCTGCACAATGATGTCATCTGCGTCTTCTTGCAGTGAGTGTTCGCTTATATGGAAGCAAACTTGTTCAAAGACATTTTTCAACCAAAATGCCTGAGTTTTGGGCTGAATGCGTGATCTCTAAATTGTTGTGTTTCGTCGATTTCGTTGCCATTGCACTGAAAGGAAAGAAGTAACGAGAGCGCATCGCTGTTCATCATTTTTCCGCCGCGTTTGAAGTGGGCACCCCCAATCAATAGCTATTTCACACAACGCCTTCGTGTTTTAGCACGTGAAGCCGAATCCGTGGCCAGCGACTTCAAACTTCGAGCGGAGTACATGCCAGGAATTCCTGGCGTGGTAAATACGAAGTCCAAGTCGAGCAATCAGTTGAAATCACGAGGCACTCCTCTAGGCTGGGGCCGCCTGAGATGTGACCTGACCTCTCCTCTGGCCTGTGACCGCCTGCAATGTGACCTGACCTCTCCTCTGACCTGTGACCGCCTGCGATGTGACCCGACCTCTTCTTGACCATCCGCGATGTGACCTGACCTCTCCTCTGACCTGTGACCGCCTGCGATGTGACCTGACCACTCCTCTGACCTGTGACCACCTGCAATGTGACCTGACCTCTCCTTGACCGTCTGCGATGTAACCTGACCTCTTCCCTGATTTGCAACCGCCTGTGATGTGACCTGGCCTCTCCCTTGGTCTGTGATCGCCTGCGATGTGACCTGACCTCTGACCTGACCTCTCCTCTGGGCTGTGACCGCCTGTGATACGACCCGACCTTCCCTCTGCTTTGTGACTGCCCGCGATGTGACCACCTGACCTCTGACCTGACCTCTCCTCTGGGCTGTGACCACCTGTGATGCGGCCCGGCCTCTCCCCTGGTCTGTGACTGCCTGCGATGTGACCTGACCTCCGACCTGACCTCTCGTCTGGGCTGTAACCGCCTGCGATGTGCCCTGATCTGCCGGTGCGACCCCCAGCCTGGTGGTCTTCACTGGCGCCTTCACGCCAGAGAGTATGAAGGACAGCGACGCCGACTTCAACCTGGGCCTCGCCATGGGCGCGCTGCAGACCCTGCAGGCCACCGGCAACAGCCGAGTCTACGTCGCCATGAACGGTACGGCCGCCGGCAGCGGACGGCGGACGGCGCGCCGCAGCTGGCCGCGCCGGGCGATCGGCAGACGAAGGTCCCGGGTTCGGATCCCGCGCCTGGCGTATTTTTTCCGCGCACGGGGCGACGCTCGCTCCGGTCTGTGTTCTCTAGTCCGGCTCCCGCTCTCAGATGTGGTCGCGCCAGACGGAGCTGGACCCTGCTCACCGGTGGCGTTCATCCCCTCACGGCACCCTCTGCTCCGAGTTCAGTCCCTTTGCAGAGTTTTGGCTGTGGTGGCTGCTGTGGTAACTGCTCCATGCTGCGGCTGAGCCCACGTCCCCATGCTGCTGCTGTGGTGCCTGCTGTGGTCCCCATGCTGCGGCTGAGCCCCCGTCCCCATGCTGCTGCTGTGATGGCTGCCCCGTTCCCCATGCTGCGGCTGAGCCCCCGTCCCCATGCTCGGCTGTGGTGGCTGCTTCGGTCCCCATGCTGCGGCTGAGCACCCGTCCCTATGCTGCTGCTGTGGTGGCTGCTCTGGTGCCCATGCTGCGGCTGAGCCCCGTCCCCATGCTCGGCTGTGGTGGCTGTTCCGGTCCCCATGCTGCGGCTGAGCCCCGTCCCCATGCTCGGCTGTGGTGGCTGCTCCGGTCCTCATGCTGCGGCTGAGCCCCGTCCCCATGCTCGGCTGTGGTGGCTGCTCTGGTCCTCATGCTGCGGCTGAGCCCCGTCCCTATGCTGCGGCTGTGGTGGCTGCTCCGGTCCCCATGCTGTGGCTGAGCCCCCGTCCCTATGCTGCGGCTGTGGTGGCTGCTGTGGTAGCTGCTCCGTTCCCCATGCTGCGGCTGAGCCCCTGTCCCTATGCTGCGGCTGTGGTGGCTGCTCCGGTCTCCATGCTGTGGCTGAACCCCCGTCCCTATGCTGCGGCTGTGGTGGCTGCTCCGTTCCCCATGCTGTGGCTGAGCCCCGTCCCCATGCTCGGCTGTGGTGGCTGCTCCGGTCCCCATGCTGTGGCTGAGCCCCCGTCCCCATGCTGCGGCTGTGGTGGCTGCTCCGTTCCCCATGCTGCGGCTGAGCCCCGTCCCTATGCTGCGGCTGTGGTGGCTGTTCCGGTCCCCATGATGTTGCTGTGGTGGCTGCTCTGGTCCCCATGCTGCGGCTGAGCCCCGTCCCTATGCTGCGGCTGTGGTGGCTGCTCCGGTCCCCATGCTGTTGCTGTGGTGACTGCTCTGGTCCCCATGCTGCGGCTGAGCCCCGTCCCTATGCTCGGCTGTAGTGGCTGCTGTGGTGGCTGCTCTGGTCCTCATGCTACGACTGAGCCCCCACCTCGGCGCCTGTCGACAGGTCTGGTGTGTCCGTGTGAGTCGATGGAGCGTGACCCGGAGACGGGCCAGTTCCTGCCGTGTCGGCGCCCTCGCTCCCGCGACCTGGGCCGACCGCGGTCCGCGGAGCTGGCGCACCAGCGCAGTCTCGACTCCCTGCTGGACACCGAGAGTGCGCCGGTGAGAGCCGCCCACCCGGGCAGAGGGAGGAGAGAGCTAGGGAGAGTGGGAGAAGAGAGCAAGGCAGATTGGGAGGGGAGAGAGAGGGGAGAGAGAGGGAGGGGGAGAGAGTGGGACGTGGGCAGGGAGGCAGGGAAGAGAAGAGAGCAAGGGAGAGAAGGCGGGAGAGTGAGGGAGTGAGATCAGAGGAGAGAGGGAGGGAGGGACGGGGGGGAGAAAGGGAGAGAGAACAGTAGAAAATACAATGAATGAGAGGCATAAAGAGACAGGATAAATTGACACGAAGAAAGGGGACGTGAAAGGACAGGTGATTGCAAGCAGGCAAAGAGAAAGCTCAGGCCCGAGATCATATGTCGAGCCACAAACAAAGGTCGTCAATGTGCTGAAAGATACTTAGCGACCACCTTAGCCTGTGAGCGTTACGTTCCGCACGTCATCATCTGAGCTCAGCGCGTTTGACACCCCGTGCGTCCCACAGAGTATAAATGGTCTGGCGGCGGCCTCCGCTGTGGAGCAGCGGCTGGAGCGGCGGTCGACACCGGAGCCGAGGCCGGAGCCGCAGCCGAGAAGGCAGACTCCACCGCCAGTGCCGCAGCGCATGCAGCCCCGAGGCGGCGGCGGCGGCGGCGGCGGCGCCGGTCCGCAGCAGGCCGACGCCGACGCCGACGACGTGTTCACGGCCAGCGTGCAGTACTTGCTGTCGCAGCGGGCCCGCTCGTTGCCGCTGCTGCCGGCACCGAGCGTGCCGCCGCGGCCGGCTTGTCGCCGCGAGCCAGAGACGACGGCTGACCCTTCGCTGGCGGCTGCACCGCGGCGCCGAGCCAACGTGCGCACCAACGGTTCGCTCGTGGCGCCACCAGGCGGCGGCGCCGCGAACTCGCCGCTGAAGCGTAGCAATGGAACGGCGCGGCTGGCCGAGCAGGCTGACGGCGCTGCTGACGACAGATCTGCCGGCACGGGTGGCGTCACAGTGGCGGAGCCGAGCGAGGGTGGTGAGGTGTCTCCGCTGCGGCTGGAGCAGCTGTCCGCCCTCAGGCGCACGCTGCCGCCTGGCTGGCGCCACCTGCCGGCCAGGACGCTGGAAGACCTGCTGGAGGAGGACGAAGCGGGCGAGGCGCGACCGACCGACGCGGCGTCCGCCAGCGCTGCGCGCACTCTGCTGCGCCGGCTCTCGGAAGGCGGCCACGAGCTCTTAACGGCAAACATCGCCGAGGAGTACCTGTGAGGGCCGGCCGACAGCGGCGCGCGGTCGACAGTGGCGCCGCCGGCGACGGACGGCATCCTCCGGAGCCGGCCGGCAGCGGCTCGGCGCCGGCGCTGGGCAGAGTTCGCCGGAGTCGGCCGGCGCGGCGAACTCCGCCCAGGTCAGCGGTGACAGCACGTGTTGTTGCTCTGCCTGAGTGGAGGCTGTGGAGAGCGCCAGGACGGGTGCGGGTGCTGCTGATGTACTAAAAAAAAATCACGTGAGAGCTCACTGCCCGGACCGCTGAGCCGGCGGTGGCATTCGACCACGTGTACGGGAGCGGCGGGTCGCTGGAGGAATCGACCCTCGGAAGAGAGCGCGCACTTCTGACACCCGGGTATGTCAAGGGCTTAAAACCGATTTAACCCGAGCGGACAGAAATCTGCCCGAACAGAACCACTGCGTCGCTGTACAGGAAAATAGAGTAAAGAGCAGTCAGTCGGGGGCACTCGACATAATGATTGCTTCGTTGTCGCCTGCAGAGCATCACTCAGTAAGTCTCGTTGTGTCTGGGCGGTACCTGTGCTGGGTGGCATCAGTGCTGGGCGGCATCAGTGCTGGGCGGCACCTGTGCTGGGCGGCATCAGTGCTGGACGGCACCTGTGCTGGGCGGCATCAGCGCTGGGCGGCACCTGCGCTGGGTGGCATCAGTGCTGGGCGGCATCAGTGCTGGCACCTGTGCTGGGCGGCATTAGTGCTGGGCGGCATCTGTGCCGGGTAGTGTTGTGTGTGTGTGTTGGCAGGCATCGCGAGAGACTCGCCATGGTAGCGGGAGGTGGAGCCTTCACCTACTGCCACGGTAGCGGGAGGTGGAGCCTTCACCTACTGCCACGGTAGCGGGAGGTGGAGCCTCCACCTACTGCCACGGTAGCGGGAGGTGGAGCCTTCACCTACTGCCACGGTAGCGGGAGGTGGAGCCTCCACCTACTGCCACGGCAGCGGGAGGTGGAGCCTCCACCTACTGCCACGGTAGCGGGAGATGGAGCCTTCACCTACTGAATTTTCACGACCGCATTACCAGCGTCAGCATTAGAAGCATCGCCCACCAAATTTGGGGAATCGTGACATGACGATGATGATCTTGAGCTTGATTGTTGGGCATTTAAGATGACTGATGCGTTGGTATGAGCGTGCCGATGTCCCTGGACGCCACGTGTTCTTGTAAGGTTGTTACTGCAGAACGACAGAAGCTGGGGCAAAAGTCCTCCCGACGACTGCCGGGGCTAGCTGGTAGTTCTGTCATCCTGCTCTGTTTTGCTCTGTGCTCTGAGTCATTTTGCTCTGATTCGCTCTGTGCTCTGAGTCATTTTGCTCTGATTCGCTTTGTGCCCTGGGTCATCCTCCTCTGATTCACGCTGTGCTCTGTCTTGTTTTTCCGTTCCGTTCCGACCGTTCAGTGGTTCAACAGGCATTCCAGTCTGCATGGTATTCATACGCCGAGCTCGCGCTGTCAACCACGCGTTGGAGAGCCGTACAATGCCACGATTTAGCAGGTCTGAGAAATAAAGCTTTTGCTCCGTGAAAACAGCCCTCAATTATTTGAACTGACTGTAAGAGCCATGACTGTGGGGTTGCATGGTTCCTGGTCAGTTTGTAGGTGTGAGAGTCAGACAGGAAGCGACTCGCTGACAGAACGTGAGTCGGCCAGTGCAGAGCGATTGCGATGGTGCGATGACAGGGCAGAGAGATTGCGATGACAGGGCAGAGCGATTGCGATGGTGCGATGACAGGGCAGAGCGATTGCGATGATGCGGTGTCAGTGGCCCGGATGGGGCGTGTTGTCCTTTGACGGTGTTCGTGAGTAACAGTGACAACTATGGCGTTGTTGTTTTGGGTATAGCGTGGATAAATGGGTACACCGCACCGCTGCATATGGGCAATGTTAAGCTGCCACATGGTCACAAGCGCAAGAAAAGTCTGTTCGGGAATACACTTGCAGGGTTAAAATCGATGTTTCGAATTCCGCACGTGCTTTCAGTTGAGATTACACCGCGGTTCATTTTGCTATTTTCTCCCCGTCCATGTGCGCTAGCCACAACACGGAACCATATTCAATTCGGTAACCCGTGGTGTTCACACTGCATCTAATTTCGGGGCATGTGACGTGCCTATCGGCACTGGCTAAGCCCATCCACGTGTAGTCCAGCTCGGACACGCCATCCCGTCCGTGTCTGCCCTAGGTCCATCGACGCGTGGCCCAGCTCGGGCACGCGGTCCCGTCTGTGTCTGCCTAAGTCCACCGACGCGCGGTCCAGCTCGGGCACGCGATCCCGTCTGTGTCTGTCCTAGGTCCATCGACACGCGGTCCAGCTCGGGCACGCCATCCCGTCTGTGTCTGTCCTAGGTCCATCGACGCGTGATCCAGCTCGGGCACGCCATCCCGTCTGTGTCTGCCCTAGGTCCATCGACACGTGGTCCAGCTGGGGCACGCGATCCCGTCTGTGTCTGTCCTAGGTCCATCGACGCGCGGTCCAGCTCGGGCACGAGATCCCGTCTGTGTCTGCCCTAGGTCCACCGACGCGTGGTCCAGCTCGGGCACGCCATCCCGTCTGTGTCTGCCCTAGGTCCATCGACACGTGGTCCGGCTCGGGCACGCCATCCTGACTCTGTCCGTCCGCATTGGGCTAGGATCGTCGAGCCGGTGCATCGCCGGTGAGCTAATCAGAGAAATGGCGCGGGGTAATGCTATTAGTTTCTGTCAATGGGCTCGGCTGGTGACGTAAGGCACCAAGCCAAACATCTTCAGGGCATGTGAAGCAAATGTCAAATGTTTTCCGACATCCTATGCATTTGAACCAAATTCCTCGGAAAATCGTCTAGTGTTAGTGTAAACTTCTTGGATACGAGGTAACGGACTCCGTACCCCACCCACCCCCCATTGGCAGCGGTCCGGGGTGTCAGTGACACCTCGATTTATGCTGTGTAAGAACAGCGCCTGCTACACAAACTGACAGGGACGCAAAGATCAGACTCCTAGCAATTCAGACAAACCCAGAGTCAACAGCGATTGTGTGTGCATGGATTTCACAGTCTGTTAAATGAGCATCCAGATGTCCAAAAATCTACCGTAAATATGCTGTCAGCATTGAGGTGTGCTGCCCTGAGTATGGCTCGCTTCTCATCTTCTCGAATGCCGACAGTACTCACTCTCTTAGAAGCAAATCCAATGTAAAAATACAAAATATAGAAAGCATCCACTCACATCTAAGCAGGAGTAATTGGGAAGACTGGAACCGCGAGTATGCTGGGCCTCTTGCATGCCCAGCATGATGGATGTGCATCGCGGCCCAGAAACAGTTCAGCGTTTTCCTTCGGCAGATGCATCAGCAGGTCATATCTCACATTATCAAAACAATGTATATTGCATGTTTTTAAGCTTGCAGTCGGCGTGTATACATAACAAATGGCACGAACAAACGTCGTTCAACAAACCCTGCACGTCTGTGTCAGCACGAAAAGCTGAGGAAAGACACATCGGTATTAAGGCCTTCGCAGGAGGGCCTTCAGTGGTTCACCAGTCAGTCCAGTTGGTATGGTGCTCATATGAGGAGCACGTGATGCGGATCATACGCTGGAGAGCCGCCACTACCACGATTTAGCGGGTCTGACCGCTGCCTTGTTCTGGCGGCCACTGGACCGGCCCTTGTCGCCATTGGCAGCGACATATGGAGCCGACAGTGGCGGCCTCGGTGCCTGACTTGCGGGGCTATAGCTGCCATTGTCAGTGACAGATGGGGTTACGAGCAGTACCACACGTTTCCCGGTGGCAGCCTGGCCACCGTGAGCTGTCTACGGCTTGAAGAGGCTGTGCTGGGTGGGCAAGGATCGGTGTTTCTGCAAGAGGTGAGGCTTTCCCTTCTTGCCCTTCACAGTATAGATCCTTGCTTGGCGGGGCCGAATGCCTCCTGCTCAAGCGCAGCCGGCAGCTGTTGAAAGCCTTTGTATCCCTGCTGAGGACGAACTGAAGACGGCTGCTGGGGACGAGTCGACGACAGCCACTTAGGATCGGAGCGGAGTGACTTCAATGACGGCAGTTGCGGGTCATTGGAAGGCTGCTGCTGATTAATGATGGAGGGCTGCTTCTGACCTTGAAGTTGCGGCTGATTTTGTGAACCGTAGCTTTCCTGCTGGGGACGATCAGGGTTTTCCTGCTGGGGGCCAGAGTAGTCTTGCTGGGGACGGCCAGTAGATTGCTGCTGAGGACGAACTGATGGCTGCCACTTAGGATCTGAGTATTCTTGCTGAGGACGTCTGGAAGGGTGCTGAGGAATGAAGCCAGGCTGTTTCTGATTTTGAAGGAAGTTTGGTTCTTGAGCCCCAGAATAGCCCTGCTGAGGGCCGCTTAGGGGCTGTTTTGCAGGTCGACCCGACGACTGCCATTTAACGTCAGAGTTGAGTTGCTCAGGACCGTCCAGAAGGTCGCTGCTGAGGAATAACGGGACGTTGCTTCTGACCTCGGATTGAGGAAAGTTCTTGAGGACTAGAGTAGCCATTCTGGGGACGATCAGGAGACTGCTGTTGAGGACGAGCAGAAGACCGCCACTTGGGTTCAATTGGGCCTCTTTGAGGACGTACGAATATCTGCTGAGGAACAACAGCAGGCTGCTTCTTACCTTGGATGATGGATGGTTCTTGAGGACCAGAGTAGCCCTGCTGGGGACGGTCTATGGGTTGGTGCTGTGGACCATAACCGGATTGTTTCTGAGGAACAGGATAGGTTTCCTGCGGAAGAACAAGGTACGGCTTCTGCTTAGTCGAGTGTCCCCTGTTGAGAGCGGTCAGGGACATATTGTTGAGGAATGGAATGTCCCTGCCGGGGACGGTTCCGAGATCTCTGCTGAGGAATTAGGTGGCCTTGCTGAGAACGAGTTGGAAAAGGCTGATGTGGGCCGGAGAACTGCTGCTGGGTATTTGATGCCGCCTGCCGCTGTGCTGCTCCGGCGTACCCCTGAGGCTGGGCCGGGGAGTACCCCGGGGGCCGC